GACCAGCTCAGCCCACCAGGGGGCGCGGCAGGCTGGCATGTGGTGCTGGGGGATTGAACCGCGGTCCCTGATGCTTTGCTAAGCTTGTTCTAAGTAGGTGCTTTAGACCACTGAGCCATCTCTCCAGCCCCTACTTGGATTATTTTATATGTAGCTATATTAATGGCATGTGTTCCTGTAATGAAATCTGGATTTGGATAGGCCATGAAATATATTGCTGGCCTGTTTTATTTATTAATTTAGCAAATATGTATTTAATGCTTACCCTATTTCGGTTCTTATTCCCATACAAGGGCATAATATGTCAATATAAGACATATAGTACCTTTTCTCAGTGATCTTACCAGTAGATAAAAATGTATTTATCAGAGACTAATACAAACAATAATTACAAATTATTATTATTATTATTATTATTATTATTATTTGCTTTCCATAACACAATGTTCAGATCACAAAGGATCTAAGTTGTACAGAGATGAAATTTCTTGTCTCATGTGTGGAGACCGCGTTAGTGGGTCAGGGTGGACATAGGGACTGGGCTATTGAGGAGAAGCCGAAGCAGCCGTGACGTCCCAGCAGGTCTGCTGTTCCTTCCTCAAGCAGTTCAGTCTACTGAGTTATGGATCATGGTTAATGAAAATGATGATCACAATTGCATTCACTGATTCAGATGGAAAGAAGTATAATTTTGTTGTTGTTTCTTTTCACTTAATTCCCCCACATTGAAAACATATGCTTTTTCAAGTTAATACACGCTGTACAATGGAGCTTTAAAATTTGGATTTTTTTTATTCAGAGGTAAGAAACTTCTCCAAGCTTCCTCCAGCTGAGCACCTAGCCAACACCGCCTCCTTTTCTCAGCCCCCCAAGTGGGCAAGATGTGCAGGCCCCAGCACAAGGAGGCCAGAAGCCTGGTTTTTTTCCCAAGACAGAGTAGAATGAGCCCCAGAGTGCTGGAAGTGACACAGCAAGGGCGGAGGGCTGAGTCGCATCTGCTCTCCTCCTCCCCTCTGATCCTTGCTGTAAAACACCTCTGCCTCCCTGTAAAGGAGGAGAAGGCGACTTGAAGCAAGTGGGGCCTCCACCTCTGTGGAGCCAGCTTTGAATAAATACTTTGCCCTTGTGCCCAAATGCGTGGCCTCCTTTGATCTGGCCAGCAGGGAGCGGGTGAGCTGAGCGCAGAGCCTAAGTGGCCGGAATGTGTCAACAATGGTGCTCAGTGACTTCACGTTCTTTTCCATGTCCACTCCTCCAAACATGTCCCAGATATCTTTTCAGCTGTTTCGAATTTAGGAAATTAAAGCTCTGTAAGTGCATTTTTTTTTAAAGAGCTGGAGACCCTGAAGCAGTCCCCCACTGCTCTGTCCTCTGAAGCACTACCCAGTCACATTCAGATCCACTAAAATCATTCTCCATGGAATGAGTTGGACAATCCTGACCAAGTAGAATAGCGAGACAATCCACCTACCACCCTGGGATAGCTGCTCCTGTGGGTGCAAATGCGCGCCGACGGGGCGAGCGTGCCGAGGAGCCCGTTACTCACAACATCCACGAGAACTGGGAAGCAGTTCGGTCTCCTGGTATTGCAGGCCAGTGAGAAGCGGTGATTCTGAAATACAAGAGAAGGGTTGTGGAACCTGAGAGGCGAAGCACAGCCTTAGGCAGTGCGGTGCGTGAACAGTCTTCTCACCGACAACGACAAGGCAAGTGCTAAATCTGGCTAGTATATTACTAGGTCCTCAATTTTGTCCTCATTAAAGAAGCATAAATGCTAACATGGTAATTGAACGATACTCTCCTGCTTCAATGTTGGCATATTAATAAAGCTGCAGACAACTCATCGAAGGCCAAATTCATCATAAATATGCATTTGATTGGAAGATAATCTTTTTTTTTTATTTTTTAAATTTTTCATTTTTTTGGCGGAACCAGGAATTGAACTTAGGCCCTTGCGTTTGCCAGGGAAGTGCTTATTCTACTGAGCATCTCCCTGGCCCTGAAGATAATCTTTGAGTCCACTGATGTAAGAATTCACAAAGCCGGAACTAAAGGGTATTATTTTTAAATAAAACAAAACTTTTGGACTATGTATGTTATACAACTTCTGGGAGGATTATAAGAGTTCCATAGACTTCATTCTGACCTTTGCAGTGTGTTTTAGGTGATATTTGCTGAGAAATGCTGCTTATGTTAATATCATTTGATATTATATAATTATTATAGCCACTAATCCGATTCACTGAATAACAAATGAAGCAGGAGTTCTTGCTTCTTTGTAAATAAATCCAGAGGCTTAAGTGACATAGTCCTAGCCCAAATTCTCTTGCAAATTTGCTTCTATACATGTAAATACTTTTCTTTTTTATTTTTATGTATTTAGTACAGGATCTACAGGGTCTCACAACATACATCAGACTCGGAGTGATCCTCCTGCTTTCAGCCTCCCAAGTGCTAGGACTACAGGCATGTCCACCACACCCAGTCTCAACGGCTGACTCAGCAGACCCCAAGGGCAGGGCCAGCGTAGCGATCCAGGAATTGAACCCCGGCCGCTGTGCTCTGCTTAAGCAGGCACTTCAATCAGCTGAGCTATCTGACTGGTCCGCATATAAATACTTTTTAAACACAAAAAGTATGTACAGTGGAACAGTTGCTTTTCTGAGTCATAAAGACAGTATGGTATAGTCATGGTTTGCAGTAAAATCACTGACGGGTAGCCACATACCGTGCTGTCACCTGACACAGTGATGGCTCCATTGTAGGACAGCTCCTCGGTGCCATCTCTGGTCCCAGATGCATCCACTTCCAAAGCTATGTTCTGTTTCTCCAATGAATGTATAAAGCCATCAATGCTTGCTCCTTATTGGGAGGAACATAGAAGAGGCAACCAAAAGCCAAGGGTATGCGTTCAGTTGTGCGTCCGAATGAACCTGTCTTGTCAACACCCACTACGTGCAGCAGTGATCCAGGCTGCAAAAATGTGTACACATTTCTTCTATGAACAAGACTATTTTACAGATTGCATGAGTATATTTTAATGATGTTTCCTGTATGATTTCTGGTTAAAAAAAAACCCTAATTTTTGTTAGCATTCTGTATTTTCTAGATTCAGATAAGTGGCCTTACCAATGGACACCAACATGATCATGTTCTTGCAATGATTTGCAACACATAAATTATTTGATTTAGCAAATCTTATATTATGATGATGATGATGATGATAATGATGCAAGTAAATTTTAAAACATTTTTTATATAAACCCTCTCATTCTTTAATATGTATCCATATAATACTCTTTGTTCTTATCACTTTCAGCATTTTTGTTCCAATTTAGGGTTATTTTCTTTAGCTCTCAACTTCACGGCATGTTTGTAAAACTTCTTCATGCTTTTCTTCATGCTTGCATTTCCTAAGGAATGTTTTGGCAGCATGAATATTTGGGAACCGACAGCAACAAAGCTTTCACCTGTCTTATTGATGATCAGCAAGCTAGAGAGAGGGTCCCGGGGTCGTTGGCCAGGAGTAAGGAAGTACATCTGCGGAGACAGTCCCCAGAAGTGGTCATCTCGAGAGACTATCTTGCGAAGATATGCTGTCAAGATATGCAGAAGTCCACCTATGAGAAGCAGTACCCTACGGAGAAGAAAATCCACAGAATGGATCCGTAGCCATTGTCCAGTGTATTGTCCATTTGGGGTATTTCCCTGTGCCTTGTTTTGCCACAGCATCGGCAATCTTCCATTTTCACTCTTCCCCAGGCTGTCTCACACAGCTTTTGCAGATTAATTTTAAAGATTTCCTTGAACCTTGATTTTGCCAGTTTCTTCAAAAACCCTAGGAATTCTAATCACCCCTTTAATAAGAAAGTATCGACTGAAATACTACTATGTGTCATGTCTCACATCTGCATATTGATTGATAATGGATTGGGGGGCCATTGGTAGTGATGGACACGGGGCGCTAATGCGATTTGGCAAACTCTTTAGGACCAGGCTTGCGTTTAGGTATCCCCCCACCCAGCCTCATGCAGTCATAGGCAGGGCTTTCTCAGAGGTGGCTGGATCTAGAATGTGTGATGCCGGAGATAACGGTGTGTGATTACTAAATTAGTCCACTGATGGGTAGGTTTGGCACCTACCCTAGGCCTGGGTAGAACATAAAAGGGGCAGAAAGAAGCTGGTTTTGTCACTTGCAGCTTGGTGCCTCCTGCCTCCTGCCTTCTGTCTTCTGCCCACCACCAACATTTTTTCCTCTGCGATGCTCTTCTGTGCTATTGCCCTTCCTTGGAACCAGCTGATTATGGACTAAAACCTCCACATCATGAGAGCCAAAGGAGCCTTTCCTCCTTTAACTTTGGGTGTTGAGTACTTTGTCTAAGTAATGAGAAGAGCAACCAAGGCAAGGCTGATACTGTTACGCACTGTTGCTAAAAGTGCCTGCCCTAAGGAAGGTGTGAACAGGGAGCAGCCTGCACTCGAGAGGGAGGGGATAAGGGGCAGCTTGAGGGCCCCAGTGCAGAGAATGCTGCTGGAGGCGTGAATCAGTACACCACCTATACACACACAGAGACACAGAGACACACACAGACACAGACACACAGAGACAAACACACACAGGCGCACACAGATACACACACAAACACACAGATACATACACAGACATACAAACACACACATAGACATACACACACACACACACACACACACACACACACACACACACACACACGAAGCCATGCTCCAATGTGGCTATTTTCACTGTGGAGACTTTCAAGGAAAACAGTACAACTGAACATTTTGCTGCCTCGAGTTGGCTCTGGTCAATTATGAATTCGATGTGCTAATGTACTAGCACATAAACACCGTAAACTGAAGTAAGAGGTGTGAGCAAGAAATGTAGATGCTGGAACTGATTTTTATCTATTTTTTAAATGACTATTCCATTTATACACATTCTAATATAAGGATGGGCAGGCACAATAGCACTTTGCTATTTGCAAGATTGTAGTGGTTGGCAAGACATTGCAGTGACAGCCAGAAGGGAAAAGGAAACAGCACCAAGTTACAACTTTGGTGATAAATGTGAGAAAGCCAATCAAGCTGTGAATGAAGTCAGCAAGCTGTTTTTGTCCAAAAGTAAGAAGCCGGATTGGGCAGACAAACTGGAAGACACTGGTGTAAGTTAAGATGGTGACATATCTGTGAGAGTACTAAGCCCACCCTTCAGTTTACCTTCTCTGTACAGTATTTCCATAATAAAACACCCACCCAGAAGAAGAGTATAATACATTTTCAGCACCTGTCGAGCTACACGCAGTCTCACCTCACACTCTATCTTTCTTTTGCCCTGCCTGGAAACCTTTCCTCATTTTGCGGAAAAAATATCTATAAAAATTAAAAGCATTTCTATGAGACTACATGAAATGAAAACCATTTGTCATTCTCCCCTCTTCCCTCTGCCTTTCTCTCCAGTAGCCCATTTCTCTGTAGGTTTCCTGGGGTTGCCAGAGGACAGCCAGCTTTGTTTCTTTCATAATAAACTTCCAGTTTATTTTACTGTAAACTTCCTTCAAGTTTGGTTTCCAGCTAACATGGCTATGACTGCCCACACCGGTCTCTCTTCATTCTAAAATCCTTTCCCATGTTCTTTCCAGGTAAAGCTTTTTGCACTAAGTTTGCACCATTGCCTCTGGTTGAATTTCCCAACTTCTATGACCACTGGAGAAAGGACCCACGTTCTCCCACGACACTCACAGTGTGAAGTGAACTTTCTTTTCCCGCTTGATCTTCAAGAAGCGAACCCTGGCAACTGCACACACCTGCTGCCACAAGAGAGCCATACCAGTTTTTGTCTTGTACATCCCATTAGGTGAGAAGGCAGCTTCTTCAGTCTCAAAGAGCCTCCCTGTGTCTCTTGTCCCTTCAGCCTGTACATCTTCCAAAGTACCAATGTCTGTAAAACGAAACATAAGCAAAGCCCAGTAAGTGCCATCTTGAGGGCCCTTGTTTGAACTTTCCCTAAAAGCATCCTTTGATTCACAGACTTAACACAATCTACCTAAATGGAAGCAGAAATGCCAAGAAAAATGAAAACACCTATAAATAAAAAGTTGTATACAGATATTGGTAGCTTAATTTGTAATACACTAAAAATAGAAACACTTTCACAGTATATTTCCTGAACAGGAAATAAATTGCAGAAAGTAACTTAACAGTCAAAGAGAAAAGCTTCTGAGATGCAGAATGACGCATTTGAATTACAAAACCATGAAGCTAGAGAACTTGACACTGTTATTCTTCTTGTATTAGGTTCTGGCACAGGAAAGTAAAAACTTATGAGTAGCTAACTTACAGAGAGTTACTTAGGGAAAAGCTTAGAAGGGATAAAGAAGGAGAAGAGGACAATATTCTAAATCTTATTTTGTGCGATTAGTTAAGGGAAGTCAAATTTTCAACATGAAAAAATTAGTAGATGGGTATTTTATTTGGTGTGAATTACAGGGCTTTAAGTAATGTGAAAGACTCATGGTGAATCTCAGCAAACTGTGAACATAAAGTACTACTGCATGTTCAATTAAATTAGTGAATCTACAACAATAAACTATAATGATAGTAGACAACCAGATCCATAGGTTTATTAGTTATTAGTTTAATTTATACAAGTGAAATAGGATTTTATATACTGAAATATTAGAAATGATTTTTTTGAATCTATTTGGTACAGGTTTTCACTCTGCATCTCCGACTGGTAGTGATCTTCCTGTTTTCAGCCTCCCCAGCACTAGGACTACAGGGGTGCACCACCACGCCTGGACACACTGGCTGGCTCAGCACACCCGGGGCAGGGCTGGAGCAGCGTGTGGTACTGGGAATTGAACTAGAAATGATATTTTTAAGAAAAGATGTAGGGCCAGCAAAATAGCTCAGCAGTCTGAAGCACCTGCTTAGGCAAGCTTAGGGACAAAAAAATAAAAAATTAAGAAAATATTTAAAAGAGTCAAAAGAACAAAAAAAAAAAAAAAACCACACAAAGTACTGTATGATACTTAGGAATTAATTTAACAAAGTATGTGTAAGAACTTTTTTGAAGAAAAGTCACCAAATTTTTCTGAAGGATGTAAAGAAAGTAAAAAAAATATGGGCAAACCACTCCATATTCATGACTAGGAAGGCATTTTTGTCAAAATGCTAATGTTTTCAGATAGAACCCATAAGCTTAGTGCCTAAAAATGACAGACAAGTCTCTCCTGTTTGTTTTCTGGGGCTGCTGCGTCCCAGCCCTGGGTCAGCCGGCCAGGCCTCTGAGCAGGTAGCATGCTGAGGGCAAGCTCAGTGCCCCCCAGGTCACCCCCAGACCTCTGCTGGATGAGCTGCTGAGACTGGACGCTGTCGCAGTGGACAGAAAATGATCTGGGGTGAGTAACTAGCGCTGGGCCATCGCCCTCACAACTGGGCCTGTGAGGCCAGTAGTTGCAGGAGAGGAAACGGGTAAATACCCAAGAGCTGCTTCCTTTTCCTACTTCATTCCAGAGAATTCCAGAATAAAAGGGGGAAGGAGGCTGGAGCTATCACTTCAAATCCCCATTAAGGGGTTGTGAGTAATTGGGATGAATTTTTACATCTCTGGCATCTCAGGACCATCCCGAACCCAGGTGCATTTGAAAAGATTAGAAGAACAAAATCTTAAAATGTCAGCAGTCACTTAAAGAACTGAGCTAAGGGGCAGGCCCCCTAGAGTTCTCATAGAAAGCAAGCCTATTCTTACTTTTCCATGAAGTCATGGAATGATTTTAATTAAGAAAATAACAAGGGGGGCTGGTGAGATGGCTCAGTGGTCTAGAGCACCTACTTGGAACAAGCTTGGCAAAGCACAGAGACCGCGGTTTGATCCTCCATCACCACATGCCGGCCAGCACCGCCCCCTGCTGGGCTGAGCTGGCCACACACACACACACACACACACTAAATAAATAAATAAATAAATAAATAAATAAATAAATGTTAAAAAAAAAAAAAGAAAATAACAAGGGCCAGCCAGGTAGCTTAGCGTGCTAATGCTCCTGTTCAGATACGCGGAGGTACTGGGGTTCCATCCCTGGCATGCCTTGCTGGCCCCACCCCCAGGGTGCACTGAGAGGGGGACTGAGACTGGGTGTGGTGGCACTTGCCTGTAATGTCAGCATTTGGAAGGCTGAAAAACAGGAAGGATGACTACAAGTCCAATTTGTGTAGTGAGATCTTGTAGACCCCGTACTAAATACATTTTTTAAAAAAGAAAATAAAAGAACTATCAAAACATTATTTCTCTTATAAAATTACTGATTTTACTGTTAAGTGTCTCAAATACCTTTATTAGAATATATTCTGGTATATCAGAAAACAAATGTCCATGGTTTAAATGTAAGCAACGCTCTCATAGTTTTTCTAAACAATTAACAATATCTTAAGGAGTTCACAAAAATGTCACAACACTGTTGGAAAGAAGTGTTTCTAAAATGTGCATTGCATGGGACACTAAACACTGATTCCATATAGTTTCCTTTAACTTTCTTTACCTGGTTGGTCAAGGTCAGGTTTCCCTTGTAATTTCAGGAACACCTCATTCAGTGTGGTCATGGAAACACCATAATCCTCAATTCCTAGGTCGGTACAGCTTTCCAGATCCCTATAAAGATCTAGAGAATGAACAAATAATAAAAATCCCATGTGATCTGGATAATAAACAGCAGTTCTCTGGTTCTGTAGGGAAAGGACTGAAATTGTTCTTACGAAATGCAAAACATACCCATTATGTACTGCAATTTTAGCCCGATATGGTAGCACATGCCTATAATCTCAGTACTCTGAGGAATGAAGCGGGAAGATTGTAGGCTTGAGAACAAACTGGGCAGCTCAGCCATAGCTTCTCTCAAAATAAAAAAATAAAAAAGAAGTGCATGGGATGTAGTATAGTGTGAAGGTCCAAAGTTCAATCGCTAGTGCAGGGGGAAAAAACCCAAAATTTCATAATAAATAAACTTACCTCTTATGTAATATGAATAACTTCTCATTTTGATTTTATATGTTAGTATGGCCTGAACTTTATTTTCCTAAGACAATTATTTATCTGTTTCAATCTCTAACCTGGGCTGTCACTGTTCTCAGAGGCCAGGGTTGGATGCCCTGAATGACAAACACAATAAACTTATTTTTATATATTGGCCTGATGATCAAATTATTTCTAAAGTCATGGCCAAACAAATAGCCACACACTGAGCCTCTTAAGAAATAAGCCAGAGGTTTTCTTTTCTTTTTCTTTTCTGGTTTCTGTGTGTGTGTGTGTGTGTGTGTGTGTGTGTGTGTGGCCAGCTCAGCCTACTCTACCGGTGGGCTGGTGGAGCATGTGGTGCTGGAATTGAACTACGGTCCCTGGGCACTTGCCTAAGCAGGTGCTTTAGACTGATGAGCTATCTCATTGGCCCAAGCCAGAGATTTTCAAATCAGCATATTCATTATAGGCTTTGATGACTAGGAAATTTGCCTTTGCACATTAAGGGAATGGAAAGCTTGCAAAAAGAAACAGAAGACTGGCTTAAAATGTCATTGTAGTTCAATCACTATAGTATGAAAATGTTTCTTAGTATTTATAAAATAATGCAATCCTTGCATTAAACATTAAATCAACTTTCAACTCTATTGGAGTACAAGTAATCAGTGCTGTTGTTTCTTATGTACTTAGCGATACATTTGTAGGGCTGGGGAGATAGATCAGTAGAATAAGCACTTGCCTGGCAAGCGCATGGTCCTGAGTTCAATCCCCAGTATTAAAAAAAAAAAAAAAAGAAAAGAAAAAAAAAGAAAGAAAGATACATTTCTAGAATATTTATGGAAACCAATAGTTTTTTATTGTTACTACTTTGATTTTGATTTGTTCTTGTTTGTTTTCATTTTATGGAAAACAAGTAAAAAATTCATAACAAAACAGTAGGAAAGTAACAATAGTTGATTCATTGCATATCATTATCTTTAAAGTAGTTACTCAGAGTATAAGAAATGGACATAAGAAAAGGAAAAAGGAGGGAAGAAGAAAGAGAAAAAAAGCAAGTTACTTATACTATTAGTGTCTCTTAGTTATAGAAAAGGAAGGTTTGCACTTAAGTCGACTGGAGAATCTTTTGTGTGTTTTTCTTACTTTGGATGCGTTATATTTTGTTCTCTCTGGCAAATTTTCTTTGCCAGAAGCAAGATACAATGGAGTCAGTTTATCCTTGAGAAGCAGGACCCTTACACACACGGATCGAGATCTGACAGCACCCGAGCAGAAGCTCATGGACTATGAAACCTACAGCCCTTGCCTCACCACCCACTGGACTTTCCCTGTTCCCCTTCCCCATAGGGCTGAGGACAGTCCACTGCGTGATGCTGGATGACTCTTAGCAAGCACCTGGCTGTCCCTGTGCCTCTGTTTCCTTTCACGTAGAGTGAGCGCAGCTGTCACACCAATCCTGCTCAGTGTCTCTCCTTTCAGATGGTACACTGCTTCATCCAAAGGCTCACTGTCATACTTGGCACATATTAATCTGATGCTGCATATTACGGTTTCTGCATCATGAATTACCTGGAAATTTATTTGTTCTTTCCAAAGGCAACGTATACGTAAGTTTTCCTGCCCTCTCTGCTGACAGTTTGGCATCAGGGATGTGCTGTTTAACAAGTGATGTAATTCTTTTATGAACACATGTTTCATCGAGCTGCAAACTGGTGCTCAAAAAATAGACACAGAGAAAGTAAATAGACACAGAGAAAGATAGAGATGCACAGAGACACAGAAAGGCTTTTAAATCTTAAGTGCTGGCCTTGATATCCAAGGGAGAGCATTATTTGAAATATATTCCAAAAGGATTGCTAGAAAAATATGACTCATAAGTCCAAGTGTAGCCTAAAATGCTTTACATAAATGTGGTAGACATGACTTCAGTCCTATAATCCCAGAAGCTGGGATTACAGGCATGCCCCACCACGCCCACACGGCAGGCCCTGTATATTGGTACTCTAGATGAGACCAAATACGGTCTTGTCAAGACTGACAAAGTTATACTGGGCTTGGATACAATCAATTAATAGAAACATTTACCTAACCCTATCCTAAATTTCCCCATCTCTGTTGTGTCTTCAATATGCAGTACATCCAGTATTCCAAGCTCACCTACCCTCTACCTCTCTACACACCTTACATTCATGTGGGGGTTTTTGTATATGCTAACATCTGCTTCAAGCAGCATGCCTTATTTCTGCTTAATCTCATTTACTCCTCCTTCCTCAAATGACCCACCTCAGGTGATAGCCAATTCCCCATTTCTTCTTCAGAAACAAGGAAGAGCCCGCACACTTCAGCCTCCCTTGGGAGAGAAACACTTTCCTTTCTGAAAATAAAATGATACAAAGAATGATTCTTCCCATCATTTCAGAGAAACATCTGGCATCAAACTATCTTATAAACTATTCAGAAATCTATTAAACATGGACTGTAATGTCAAAGGTACAGTTTGCTATTAAATGAGTCCCATTGTTTATTTCTATGTCATCCAACTCCACAGAAAGACCTAAGTCTGTGGA